TCCTGCCCGGGGTGGCTTTGAACCGTGATCCTCAGATCTCAGCCTCCTGAGTAGCTAGGATGACAGGTGTGAGCCACCAGTGTCTGGCTAAGTAAAGCTTATTATTATTATTGTTATCATTATTATTATTTATCAGTTCATTTGAGGAAAAAGGGTCACTGGGAAACTAATGAGAACTACATCTTTATGAGTCAGGATTGGTTAATTATTAAAATTATTAAATGAATCAATTAAATTATTAAAATAAGCTTGGGCTGGGCGCTGGTGCTGTCTTCCTAGCTACTCAGGAGGCTGAGATCGGAGGATCAAAGTTCAAAACCAGCTGGGGCAGAAAAAGTCCATGAGCCTCGTATCTCCACTGAACCATCAACAAGCCAGAAGTGGAGCTGTGGTTTAAGTGGTAGAGCGCCAGCTTGGAGCAAAAATGCCAAACACACACACACACACACACACACAATTCGGGGTTCCTTGGAAGTATCAATTTGCTTCATTTCTTTCCATTTGGCTTTTATGGGGGCCAAATAAAAAAAATTCGGAGCTTTCCTTGTACAGATGTTTCCTAGGGGGAGGGGTAACCCCCCCCAAACCAGCACCCACCATTCCTGCTAAACGACTTAGGCAAATGGCCCTCAGTGTTATTCAAAGAATTCAGAGTGCTCAGGGTGATTTGGAAAAGAAAAGAATAATTCCAGGCCAATCCTGGGAGGGGGAGGGAGCCAAACATTTAAAAAGCAAGAGGAGCCCGGGGTGGGGAGAGGGGTGTGTTTTTCTCTGGGGGGGGGGGAAACCCCAATTGTTTTTTCTCATTTTCAACCAGAGTACCAGACTGGCTTCCAGCCAACGTAGTGGAAGACAAGGCTTTTCCTATGGATGGTGGCATTCTGGTAAGTTCGATGTGCTGTGGATGTTATTTATGTTGGTGGATCCTGGGATTTGAACTCGGGGCCTTAGACACAGTCCCTGAGATTTTTCATAAAGGGGGTTCGCTGGAGATCAGTCTCATGGACTTTTTTTTTTCTCTCCTGATCCTCGGAGCTCAGCCTCCTGAGGAGCTGGGACCAAGAGTCCTGAGTCATCCGTTACCTAAGTTTGAACCCATTAGCTCTGTAGCCAGATTTCCCAATTTACCCCCCAGCCAATAGCTGTCACCTTCGGCCTAGCACCATAGCCGTGGGGGTTGACTTCTGCTGCTCCTTGGCTTCCCTCAGTTTACCCTCCTGCAATTCCGGTGTAACTGGTTCCTAGAAATTGGTCAGAGATCTCACCTGCTGTAACTCTGGCTAGGACAGATTTAAAAACACCCAAGGCAAACTACTCTGTCAAGACACGTCTAAATGGATCTAATGTATCCATAAGGAGAACTTACTATTATTATTTGGCTCGGCTTTTTGTTTGGGTCGGTTGTGGGGCTTGAACTCAGGGCCTGGGCGCTGTCCTTGAGCTCTTTACGCCCAAGGCTGGTTGCTTGCTCTGTCACTGTGAGCCACAGCTCCACTTCTGGTTTTCAGGAGTGTCATGGACTTTCCTGCCCAAGCTGGCCTCAAACCACGATCCTCCTATCTCAGCCTCCTGAGTAGCTGGGTTTTGGGCATGAGCTGTCAGTGCCCAGCTTGCTAGGTTGTTTTCTGTGTTCTGGGGCTTAAATTAAGGTCTGGGTGCTGACCCTTAGCTTTTTCTAGTCCAGTCTGGTACTCTGCACCGCTTCCCATCTGACCTTTTGATGGCTGGTTATAGGAGATATAAGAGTCTCACTGACTTTTTAATCTCTGCTGGCTTCGAACCAGGATCCTCAGATCTCAGCCTCTGAAGTTGCTAGAATGACAGGTAGGACCCACGCGTGCCTGGCTACACCTGAGCTTTTAAAACGCACGGAGGAAGAGTCGGTTTTCGATGGACAAAACAGCTGGTCAGAGATGACTGAGAGGCCAAGACGGCAACAGATGCAGGGTGGGTGCTGGTGCTCCGCCTGTAATCCCAGCTTCCCGGGAGGCCCAGCTCTGAGGCCCAAGACTCAAAAGACAGCCCAGGCCGGGGGTGGGAAGAAACCTGGGCGCTAGAGACAGCTGTGGTTCGAGGGGTAGCGCACCAACCTTGCGTGGCAAGCACTGCCAATAACTGAAGGGCCCTCGAGGCGCAGGCCCCGGGGCCAAGGCTCGCTGCTGGCCCACACCTACCAGAAGGTTCCAGCACCCCTGACTGTCCTGGAAGAGTTGGTGAGCAGCGGGAAAATCAGAAATGGAGTAAGGGTGCCCCCCAGCGCCCCCAACCTTCCCCCAGCCCCCCCCCCCGGCCTCGGTCCCCCCTCCCCAGCCCCCCCCCCCCGGCCTCGGCCCCCCTCCCCAGCCCCCCCCCCCGGCCTCGGGCCCCCCCTCCCCAGCCCCCCCCCCCCCGGCCTCGGGCCCCCTCCCCAGCCCCCCCCCCGGCCTCGGGCCCCCTCTCCAGCCTCCCCACCCCCGCCTCGGGCCCCCCTCCCCAGCCCCCCCCCCCGGCCTCGGGCCCCCCTCCCCAGCCCCCCCCCGGCCTCGGGCCCCCCCTCCCCAGCCCCCCGCCCCCGGCCTCGGGCCCCCCCTCCCCAGCCCCCCGCCCCCGGCCTCGGGCCCCCCTCCCCAGCCCCCCGCCCCCGGCCTCGGGCCCCCCTCCCCAGCCCCCCCCCCGGCCTCGGGCCCCCCTCCCCAGCGCCCCCCCCCCGGCCCCGGCCCCCCTCCCCAGCCCCCCCCGCCTCGGGCCCCCCTCCCCAGCCCCCCCCGGCCTCGGGACCCCTCCCAGCCTCCCCCCCGCCTCGGGCCCCCCCTCCCCAGCCCCCCCCCCCCGGCCTCGGGCCCCCCTCCCCAGCCCCCCCCCCGGCCTCGGGCCCCCCCTCCCCAGCCCCCCCCCCCCGCCTCGGGCCCCCCTCCCCAGCCCCCCCCCGGCCCTCGGGCCCCCCTCCCCAGCCCCCCCCCGGCCTCGGGCCCCCCTCCCCAGCCCCCCCCGGCCTCGGGCCCCCCCTCCCCAGCGCCCCCCCCCGGCCTCGGGCCCCCCTCCCCAGCCCCCCCCCCCGCCTCGGGCCCCCCCTCCCCAGCCTCCCCCCCCCGCCTCGGGCCCCCCTCCCCAGCCTCCCCCCCCCCGCCTCGGGCCCCCCTCCCCAGCCCCCCCCCGGCCTCGGGCCCCCCTCCCCAGCCCCCCCCCCGGCCTCGGGCCCCCCTCCCCAGCCTCCCCCCCCCCGCCTCGGGCCCCCCTCCCCAGCCCCCCCCCCCGGCCTCGGGCCCCCCTCCCCAGCCTCCCCCCCCCGGCCTCGGGCCCCCCCTCCCCAGCCCCCCCCCCGGCCTCGGGCCCCCCTCCCCAGCCTCCCCCCCCCGCCTCGGGCCCCCCTCCCCAGCCCCCCCCCCGGCCTCGGGCCCCCCTCCCCAGCCCCCCCCCCCCGCCTCGGGCCCCCCTCCCCAGCCCCCCCCCCCCGCCTCGGGCCCCCCTCCCCAGCCCCCCCCCCGCCTCGGGCCCCCCTCCCCAGCCCCCCCCCCCGCCTCGGGCCCCCCTCCCCAGCCCCCCCCCGGCCTCGGGCCCCCCTCCCCAGCCCCCCCCCGGCCTCGGGCCCCCCTCCCCAGCCTCCCCCCCCGCCTCGGGCCCCCCTCCCCAGCCCCCCCCCCCCGGCCTCGGGACCCCTCCCCAGCCCCCCCCCGGCAGCCTCCCCCCCCCGGCCTCGGGCCCCCCTCCCCAGCCCCCCCCCGGCCTCGGGCCCCCCCTCTCCCGGCCTTGGGCCCCCCTCCCCCCAGCCGCCCCTCCCCCGGGCCCCCCCCCTCCCCAGCCCCCCCCCCCGGCCTCGGGCCCCCCTCCCCAGCCCCCCCCCTCCCCCGGGCCTCGCCCTCCCCCCGCCCCCCTCCCCCTGCCCCGTTCTGTTCTGATTCTCTCTTTGGAAAGTCAGTGTGTGTGTGGGGGGGGGCTGGGGGGTCCCCGGATTTCCCTTCCCGCCTTCTGGGAGTGGGAGCCGGGGGGTGAACACACGGCCCCCGCCGCGGCGGCCTCCCCGGCTTCCAGATGGTTCCTTTGATGCTGGCGGCGCCTCCGCCGCGCCCGCCTGGAACCCGGCCCCGAGCGAGCGGGGCGAGCCGGGCTCAGACCCCGCCACCCCCCGCAACCCACAAAGGCGCCGGACGGAGGGAGACAAAACCAGCCCCCAGCGCGCACGCGCAACGCGCGCGTCCCCTGGAGGCCGGCCCGCGGCGAGCCCGGAGCGCCTGCGCCTGCGCGTGCGCCTGCGCGGCCCGGGCGGGCGGGGGGCGGGCCCCGGAGCGGCGTCGCCATGGCGACGGGCGCCGGCCGGAAGCGGGCGGCGCGGGGGGCGGGGCGGCGCGCGGGCGTGTGAGGCGGCGGCGGGGTGGGGGGGCAGGGGGAGGGGTCCGCTGCCCCGGAAGCACCTCCGCCCCCTCCCCCCGCGCGGCCGCGGCGCCCCCCGGCCCGCAGCCCCGCCCCCTCCGCGCCCACCGCCGCGGGCCCCGGGCCGGAAGTGAGCGGCCCCGGCGCGAGCCCGGACGCCAGCAGCGGAGCGGGGCGGGGCTGCGGGGCGCCGCGTCCCAGCCGGGTCCTTCCCCCCCCCAGCGCGGGGGGCGGCGCGGGGCGCCCGCCGCGCACACCCCCCGCCCGGCCGCGGCCCCATGCGCGCGGACGCCCCCCGCCTCGACGCGGGAGCCGCGCGGCGCGCCCAGGTAACGGGCCCGGGGGCGGGGCGGGCCGCCGCGTTCTCCCGCGCCCCCGCTCCCCTCCCCGTCCCCTCCCCCCCTCCCCCACCCTCCCCTCCCCCCCTCCCTCCCCTCCCCCTCCCCCCCTTTGTGCCCATCCTGGGACTTGAACCCAGGCCCTGGCGCCCCCTCGGAGCGGACCTCGGGGGCTGGGCCTCGAACCGCGATCCTCAGGCCTCAGCCTCCCCTGGGGGGAGTACCCGGATGACAGGCCCGCCCCCCCTCCCCGGACCCCACCCACGTGGGGACCTTCCCACTTCCTGGCAACTTTCTGGCGCTGGCTGGCCCTGACCTCGGGGCCTGGAGTCCCCGACTTCTTCTCTTCGGTCTGTTCCCGCCCCCCTCCTCCAGGCCCGGCGCTCCACCGCGCGCGCCACGCTCCACCTCCAGCTTCTTGGCCCCTTGGAGGCCTTCGCGGACTTTGCGCGCCCGGCCTGGCTTTGAACCGTGATCCTCCGGATCTCCAGCCCCCCGAGTGGCGTAGAGCCGGCAGGCCTGAGCCCCCCGCGCCCGGCAGGCCCGCGCTTCTTGCTTTTCCAGTTTGATTCTGAGCCGTTCCCTTCTTTCTCCCTCCCCACCCAGTTTCCCGCCTTCGCTCTGTGGTGTTGGTCACGGGTGGATAGATTTATAGGTTCCATAATTGATGATCTTTTTTTTTTGGGGGGGGGGATAGACTTTTGGGGGGGTCTTGGTCTGTAATCCAGCTTCATTTCTGTGTTTGAATTTGTGTGTGGGGGAGAATAAAACCTGGGGGAGCTGATGAGTGATAGCGATAATGATGAGGCAGTGTCTAGAGAAAGGAATGAATGATTCCCCTTGACTCTCCTGTCCCCGAAGGGAACCCTCAACCCCCTTTTTTCCGCCCATGCTGATTGCTAGGGTTCAGGGGTCTGTATCTGTTGAGTGCATATTTTGGAGCAGGTAGATTCAGCTGGGGCTGATAAGATTTCTTTCTGGCTCCCTTTTGGATTAAGTCCCCTAAAAGCAAATCTCAACTTCATGATCCAAGCCAAAGGGTTTCATTGCTAATTTTCTTTTTCTTTTGTCAATCGTGGGGCTTTTTCTTTTTCTTTTGTCAATCGTGGGGCTTGAACTAGGGGCCTGGACACTGTCCCTGAGCTCTTTTGCTCAAGGCTGGCACTTTGCAAACACTTTGAGCCACAGCGCCACTTCCGGTTTTTCTGGTGGTTCGTTGGAGATGAGACTTTGAATTGCGATCCTCAGATCTCAGCCTCCTAAAGCTGGGATTACAGGCATGAGCCACTGGCCCTGTTGCTTTGTTATTTACTTTGTTATTTGTTATTTACAGCCTGTTTGTTTGGGGTGCAGTTTCTTAGGTAAAATAACAGATAAATAATAAAAATACGATACAATAATAATAAAAATGGTGACACCTCTTAGGGGATGTTCTTGGTTGCGTTTACATTTTAAAGCAAAGACTGTGTTGGTGATCTAGTATTTCTTGGTGGCCCAGTGTCTTAGAAGAAGAAACTACAATGAACGTCTTTTAAGTTTCACAAAATAGGAAAATATAAGAAAAAGTAAATTGTCACTTTTTGGGGGGGCTGGTCTTGGGACTTGAACTCAGAGCCTGGGCACTGTACTTGAGCCTTTGTGCTCAAGTCTGGTGCTCTGCTGCTTGAGCCACCACTCCCCTTCCAGTATTTGGCTGGTTCATTGGAGATAAAGTCTCATGGACTTTCCTGCCCAGGCTGGCTTTGAACTGTGGCCTTCAGTTCGCAGCCTCCTGAGTAGTGTTAAAGGCACCTGGCTAAATTGTTATTGTTTTATAAATGACAGCCGGAATGACTAAATCAAAATGATTTTTTTTCCTTTCTTTTCTGTCAGTCGTGGGATTTGAACTCTGGGCCTGGGCGCTGTCCCTCAGCTCTTCAGCTCAAAGCGAGCGCTCTACCACTTGAGCCCCAGCGCCACTTCGGGTTTTCGGGTGGTTGATTGGTGAGAAGAGTCTTTGAATTGCGATCCTCAGCTTTCCTCCTCTTGAGTAGCTGGGATTACAGGCGTGAACCAGCAGTCCCTCCCCTCCCCCAAATGATGCCTTTAGAGACAATGATCCGTTTTCCAAGGTGGATGGAGACTGAATGTGGCTGTGTGATTGTATTGCATACTGGGAGTTCTGGGCTCTACTGGGAAGGTCTGGAATAACTTTGAGATTAACCAGGGAAACTCCCATATCAGGAGCCTGAAAGATAAATCAGGAGCTGGTGCTCACACCTGTAATCCCAGCTTCTTAGGAGGCTGGGTTCTGAAGGATCACGCCTCCAAGCCAGCCTGGGCAGGAAAGCCAGTGAGACTCTTTTATCTCCACTTAACCAGCAAAAAGCCAGAAGTGGAGGTGTGGCTCAAGTGGTAGAGCACCATCGTTGAGCAAAAAAAACAATGTTTAAAGGAACAGTTCCTATGTCTTGAGTTCAAGTCCCAGCACAGCTACAGAAAACAAAACAACCCCGAAAGGACCTGTCTGGGAGCCAGGAGTAAAGTGGATTTGGTGTTCTTCCCATGTAGGAGCTGAGGTGGAACTGCATTCCCGGGCACCGCACACCTCTATCATGGAGACCGAGAGCGAGCAGAATTCCAGCTCTGCCAGCAACGGTGCCAGCTCGGGCAGCAGCTCCCGGCCCCAGATCGCACAGATGTCCCTGTATGAGCGGCAGGCGGTGCAGGTGGGTGCCATGGGTGGTGGGGGTGGTGGGGGGGGGGGAGGTGAGGGGGTCCCCCTCCATTTCTTCCTAACAGTCGGGTCAGGGCCCGCCCAGCTGCAGCCTCTTGAGAAGTTCCCAGGAAGTGTGTGTGTGTGTGTGTGTGTGTGTGTGTGTGTGTGTGTGTGTGTGTCATCCGGGCTACTCGGGGGGCTGAGATAGGAGGATCATGGTTCAAAGCCAGCCCAGGAAAATCTGTGAGACGATCCATCAAAAAGCTGCAAGTGAGGCTGTGGTTCAAGTGGTAGAGCGTCAGCCTTGAGAAAGAAAAGAAAAGAAAAAAAGCCCAGGGACAACACAGCGCTCAGGCCCTGAGTTCAAACCCCAGGACCGGCACATACAAAGCAGATAAAGTAGACTTTGAATGGTGTTTATATAAACATCCGTTAGCATGATGCTATAGAAACCTGACAACTCCCAAGTAATTGAAAATTTACCTATTGTCGGTCGTGGGGCTTGAACTCTGGGCCTGGGCGCTGTCCCTGAGCTCTTCAGCTCAAGGCGAGCGCTCTACCACTTGAGCCACAGCGCCACTTCCGGTTTTCTGGGGGTTCATTGGAGATAAGAGACTCTTGGACTTTCCTGCCCGTGCTGGCCTTGAACCGCAATCCTCAGATCTCAGCCTCCTGAGTAGCTAGGATGATGGGCGTGAGTGAATTCTTTAGAAGCCAGTCTTCATTTTTCTTTTCCTTCCTTTCTCTTCTTTTCCTTTTGTCTTTTCTTCTTTCCTTCCTTCCCTGGCTTCATCCTTCCCTCCTTTCCCTCCTTCCCTCCCTCCCTCCCTCCCTCCCTCCCTCCTTCTTTCCTTCCTTCCTTCCTTCCTTCCTTCCTTCCTTCCTTCGTTTTCTGGAGCTTGAACTCAGGGCGTTATACTCTCGCTTGACTTTCACTTGAGGCTAGTGCTCTACCACTTGAGCCACACCTCCACGTGCGACTTTTTGCTGGTGAATTGGCTTTCTCTGCCCAGTTGATCTCCAGTCTCAGCTCCCGCCTTCTAGGATTCCAGCTGTGAGCCTCGGGCCCACCTTACTTTCCCTCATTTGCATATGAGATCCTATTTATCCGTCGATGCCCAATTCCCTGGCAGGTGATCAAGGCTTAGGCGTTGGAACAGGAAAAGGGTCAGGCCACATGGAGTACAGTCTCCCGTCCCCTCCGTTCCTCTGTCTCCTTCCGAGATTACAGGGAGTGGCGGAGAGCCTGAGCCAGGCGTGCTGGGCCCGGTCTGGTGTCCTTGGGTCCTGTCCGTGGATGATCTGCCCTGAGTCTCGCGTGCTGTCCGTCTGTTTTCACAGGCGCTGCAGGCTCTGCAGCGGCAGCCCAACGCCGCGCAGTACTTCCACCAGTTCATGCTGCAGCAGCAGCTGAGTAACGCGCAGCTGCACAGCCTGGCGGCCGTCCAGCAGGTGAGCATGCGCGGGAGGGAGCGGGCACGTGACCAGGCCAGGGCCTTCTGCCCACCGGGAGCCAGACCCCTCGCTGTCCATCCTCCAGGTTAAGAAGGGGAGGAGCTCCATGGCTGCTGATGCAGCCGGAAGGTGCTGTGCGCACCCCTGTCATCCCAGCTACTCAGGAGGCTGAGATCTGAGGATCGTGGTTCGAAGCCAGCCCGGGCAGGAAAGGCCATGAGCCTCTTTTATCTCCCTTGAACCCAGAAAACCGGAAGTGGTGCTGTGGCTCAAGTGGTTGAGCGCCAGCCGTGAGTCAGAACCCAGGCCCTGAGTTCAAGTCCCAGGACCAGCACCAAAAAATGGGAGAGTCACCTTGTAATGGTTGAATGACTGATGGAGATCTGGGGTGTGCAGTATGGCTGTCACTCTCCATGTGGAGAGAGAGAGAGAGAGAGAGTGTGTGTGTGTGTGTGTGTGTGTGTGTGTGTGCTGTGTGCGCATGCGCTCACACACATCTGCCAGAACTTGGGGCCTGGGCGCTGTCTCTTGGGTTTCTTCACTCAAGGCTGGTGCTCTACCACCTGAGCCACACCCCACTTGCAGCTTTTTGCTGGCTGATTGGAGGTAGGCGTCTTGGGTTCGTCTGCCTTGGCTGGCATTGAACCTGTGGCCTCCTGAGTGTCTAGGATGGCAGGTGTGAGCTCCGGGCCGGGTTCCGCAGGTAGCTCTTGAGCACTTGAAGTGTGGCGAGTCCAAACTGAAGTACAAGTATACACATAAGTATTCATAGCATCTCCAGCAATAGGTATATATACATAATGTGCAATATATAATACGGTATACTGTGCTATATGTAGGATATGCTATAAATGAAATATACTATATACATGAAGTACTATAAGTGATATAAATTATAGTGTACAGAACAAATTTACAGCACACATAAATGTATTATTTATTTATTCATTTATTTATTTTTGTCGGTCGTGGGGCTTGAACTCGGGGCCTAGGCGCTGTCCCTGAGCTCTTCAGCTCAAGGCTGGTGCTCTACCACTTGAGCCACAGCGCCACTTCTGATTTCTAGTGGTTTATTGGATCGAAGAATCTCACGGACTTTCCTGCCCGGGCTGGCTTTGAACTGTAATCCTCAGAACTCAGCCTCTTGAGTAGCTAGGATGACAGGCGTGAGCCACCAGCACCCATACTAGTATAAATATGTACTAAATACATAGTATATGTGTTAAATATATATTGTTTACGCTAAATATACATACATATACAGTAATGTATATTTACTATACATCTATACTATGTATAGTTTGTCATACATAGGTTTACTATGCTTACTATAATCTATGATATACTGTAAGCATATAGTATGTATAAATATATACTAAACACTGTATATAGACAGTAGTAAATCTGTTTATAAATACTATGTATTCTACGGTATATCTATATACTATAGATATGATGTATGTTTGTAGATACAGTGTACATATCTATAGTACAGTGTACATTTAGAATATGTAGTGTGTTTGTATTATAGATAGAGCATATGTAATACAGTGTATGTGTACTATATATAGTGTATATGTATCTATTGTACGTCTGCAGTATAGTATGTTTATAGTATGTCTGTGATAATGCTTTGGTGCCTGTACTAGCTGCTGTAGTACATGTTTACATACTAGCACATCTACCTGTATCGTACGCCTGTATCTGTAAGGTACCCATTGTTTAATAGAGTCATAGAATGTCTATGATGTACTGGGAATGGACACCCATAAACTTACTGAAGCTCACACCTTGTGTTGCTTCTTGGCACACACGCAGGTGTGCACACGACTCGCGTGCACTTGTGTGAGCTGGCTGTGTCCTGGCCGTAGCTCCTGGTGGACTTGCCCGCATGGCTCTTGGGTGAGAGATGGGAGCCGGGAGGCCGGCGGGCCCCGGGCCCTGTGCGCAGCGGCCGGGCTTGGCCTGTGCGGACGCGCGCTGCTGCGGTAGTGGGTGTGTGTTTCCCTGTCCGGAAGGACTGTGCTGTGAGTCCTATCAGGGAGCCGGGAGGCCGGCGGGCCCCGGGCCCTGTGCGCAGCGGCCGGGCTTGGCCTGTGCGGACGCGCGCTGCTGCGGTAGTGGGTGTGTGTTTCCCTGTCCGGAAGGACTGTGCTGTGAGTCCCATCAGGGAGCCGGGGCTGCGCCTCACGTCTCCCTCCATCTCCCCTCACAGGCCACGATCGCTGCCAGCCGCCAGGCCAGCTCCCCGAACCCCAGCACAGTGCAGCCGCAGCAGGCCTCCACCACCCAGGCCTCCGTGAGTTCCCCTCCCACCTGGCCTCCTCCCTGATATTTGCCTCGGCTCCTCTCAGAACGTTGACCTCACCATGTTTACTGAGCCAGCGTGGGAAATTTCTTGCTCCCCCCCCCCCCTTTTGTGCCTATATTGGGACTTGAACTCAGGACCTTGGTTTTTCTTTTAGGTTTTTCCCTTCCACCCCCTCAAGGCTGGCGTTCCACCACTTGAGGCACAGCCTTCTTTCCGGGTTTTTGGAGGCGGGAGGTTCACAGCCTGGCCTCCTGGGTAGCTGGGATGACAGGCGTGAACCACAGCTCCTGGCTTCACCTTTCCTTTGACCGGTTTTCTTGGTGTGCCTCACAGATGAACGTGGCCACCACGTCGGCCGCCCAGCTCATCAGCCGATCCCAGAGCGTGAGCTCGCCCAGTGCCACCACCCTGACCCAGTCTGTGCTGTTGGGCAACACCACGTCCCCCCCGCTGAACCAGTCCCAGGCCCAGATGTACCTGCGGGTAAGTGTCACAACCGGCCTGGGCCAGGGCCGCGGGTTCGCATCCTGCTTTCGCTGCCAAGGGTTGAGCTGTGTGTGGGGAAGGAAGCCAGCCTGCCGTGGGCACCAGCCTCCAAGCTGCAGAGCTTTTTTAAAATGCTGATCCTGGGTCTTGAACTCTGGGCCTGGGCGCTGTCCCGGAGCTCTTCAGCTCCAGGCCAGCGCGCTACCACTTGAGCCACAGCGCCTCTTCCGGCTCTCTTGGGGGTTCATTGGAGATGAGAATCTCGCGGGCTTCCCTGCCCCAGGCTGGCTTTGAACCGGGATCCTCGCATCTCAGCCTTCTCTGGGGAGCTGGGATGACAGGCGCGAACCACCAGCGCCTGGCTGAAAGCTGTTTTCTTTCCCTCTGTTTACCCCTGGTACGTGTAGCGGGGCTCAGGATTATATTGCTAGAAGATTCGCCCTGAGTGTCAGAGGTCGTCTAACATTTAAACTTAGGGCTCGAGTACAAAATCTCCTTTTTTTAGTGCCAGTACTGGGGCTTGAATCAAAGTCAGTTAGTGCTCTACTACTTGAGCCACAGCTCCACTTCTGGCCTTTTGCTGGTTTACGGGCGCTAAGGCTCTCGTGGACTCTTGCTGCCCGGGCTGGCTTTCAGTGTGATCCCCAGCTCTCAGCCTCCTGAGGGGCTGGGGTGACAGGCCTTGTCTTCTCGCTGCTTCCGTCTCCTTCACGCCCCTTCTTGCTCTCCTTGCCAGCCACAGCTGGGGAACCTGTTGCAGGTAAACCGGACCCTGGGCCGGAATGTGCCTCTCGCCTCCCAGCTCATCCTGATGCCCAACGGGGCGGTGGCCGCGGTGCAGCAGGAGGTGCCCTCCGCCCCGTCCGCCCCGTCGCCCGGGGTCCATGCAGACCCCGACCAGGTCAGTGGCCGCCCTGCTGGCCGGCGCCCGCCTCCGCCTCCGCCTCCGCCTCCGCCGCTCTCCCTCCTCCGTTTCCCTTCCCCTTCCCTGCCACTGTCCATTCCTTTCCTTTCCCTTCCCTTTTCACTCAGTGTTCCTTTCTTTCTCTTCTCTTTTTTCCTTTCCTTTCCTTCTCCTTTCCCCTTTTCCTTTTCTTCTCCTTCCCTTCCCCCTTCCCTTCCCTTCCCTTTCCTTCTTTCCATTCTCCTTTCCCCTTTTCCTTTTATCCTTTCCTCCTTCTTTCCTTTCCTTTCCCTTCTCCTTCCTTTTCCTTTTTCCTTTATCTTTCCTTTTCCCTTTGCTTCTCTCCTATCATTTCCTTTTGCCTTTCCTCTTCCCTGTTTTTCCTTCTCTTTCTTACTTCCTCCCTGTCCCATTCCCAACCCCTGCAGTGCGTGGATCCCTTTCCACGCTGCTTTCATTTGGGAGAGACGAGTAGGATTCCCTCACATATGTACATCTGGAGAATGTTGCTTTAGTTTTTTGTGCTGGTGCTAGGACTTGAACTCGGGGCCTAGGTGCTGTCCCCTTAAAGCTTTCTCACTCACGGCCAGGGGTCTAGTACTTCCTGGAGGCACACCTCCACTCCGGCTCCTGGGAGATAAGGCTCACACAGACTCACCTAGCCTGGTTGGCTTTGAACCGCGATCTTCCCGTCAGCCTCCTGAGTGGGCTGGACTGCGGGTGTGAGCAGCTGAGCAAAGTCCCGTTTGCAATGTGTTTCAGGTGCAGAACTTGGCGGTGAGAGCGCAGCAGGCCTCAGCCCCCGGGGCCCAGATGCCAGGCCCCGCGCCCAAGGCCGTGGCCCCCGGGGCCTCCCCGGCGTCGGCGCTGTCCCAGGCCTCCAGCCAGGCCCTGGCCGTGGCCCAGGCCGCTTCGGGGCCTTCGGGCCAGTCCGTGAACCTCAGCCAGGCTGGCGGCGGCGGCGCGAGCAGCCTGCCCGGGTCCCTGGGCCTCGGGGCGGGCGGCCAGGCCCCTGGGGGCTTGGGCCCGTTGCCTTCGTCCGCCTTGGCCGGGGGCGGCTGCCCCAGGAAGGGCACCGGGGTGGTGCAGCCCCTGCCTGCGGCCCAGACCGTCACCGTGAGCCAGGGCAGCCAGACCGAGGCGGACAGCGCGGCTGCCAAGAAGGCCGAGGGGGACGGGGGCGGCCCGCAGAGCGTCGGCGTGAACCTGACCCGCACGGCCACGCCCGCGCCCAGCCAGACCCTCATCAGCTCCGGTGCGTGAGGGAGCCCACCCGTTGCCGCGCCCTCCCTGCGGGGCGTGGGCCTAGGGGGCGGGCAGGCGCTGACCACACCGGGATGGACAGAGCGGCACCAGGCTGCCCCGTCCGTTGCAGTCCTTCTGTGCTGGTCCTGGGGCTGGAGCTAAAGGCCTAGGACTTGAGCTTTTTGTGCCGCAGTGCTCACACCTGCAATCCTAGCTACTCTGGAGGCTGAGATCCGAGAATGGCAGCTCGAGGCCAGCCAAAAGTAGGAAAGTCTGTGAGACTCTTAGCTCCCAGTAAACTCAGGAAAAGCCCGAAGTGGCGCTGTGGCTCAAGTGGTAGAGCGCCCACCTTGACAGCGCCTGGGCCCTGAGTTCAAGCTCCAAGATTTGTAAAAAGATTAAAAAAAAAAAAAAGACTTAAGCGCTCTACCGCTTGAACCACAGTTCTGCTTCCAGCTTTTTTTGCTGGTTCATTGGAGATAAGAGCCTCAGGGATGTTCCTGCCTGGGCTGGCTTAATGCTGCCATCCTCAGAGCTCCGCCTCCGCAGTATCTGGGATTACTTACAAGTGTGAGCCACTGGTGCCCAACTTTTAAAGTGTGTATTTTTTTTTCTTGGTTGTGGGGCTTGAACTCTGGGCCTGGGCTTCTGTCCCTCAGCTCTTCAGCTCACGGCTGGTGCTCTACCACTTAAGCCACGGCGCCACTTCCGGTTTTCTGGGGGTTCATGGGAGATCAGGGGCTCACAGACTTTCCTGCGTGAGCTGGCCTTGACCCGCGATCCTCCGATCTCAGCCTCCTGAGCTGCTGGGATGACAGGCGGGAGCCACAGGGCCTGGCTGTATCTCTGTGTGTGTGTGTGTGTGGTTTGTGTGTGTGTTGTGTGTTGTATGTGTGTGGTGTGTGTGTGGTATATGGTGTGTGTTGTATGGTGTGTTGTATGTGGTTTGTGTGTATGTTGTGTGTGGTGTGTGTTGTATATTGTATGTGTGGTTTGTGTGTGTTGTATGTGTGGTGTGTGGTTTATTGGTGTGTGTGTGGTGTATGGTGTGCTGTGTGTGGTATGTGTGTGTTGTGTGTGTGGTGTGTGGTGTGTGTGGTGTATGTGTGGTGTGTGTGGTGTATGTGTGGTGTGTGGTGTGTGGTTTATTGGTGTGTGTGTGTGATGTGTGTGTGGTGTGTGGTGTGTGTGTGGTGTGTGGTTTATTGGTGTGTGTGTGGTATGTGTGTGGTGTGTGTGTGGTGTGTGGTGTGTGGTGTGTGTGCTGTGTGTGGTGTATGTGTGGTGTGTGTGGTGTGTGGTGTGTGTGTGGTGTGTGTTGTATGTGTGGTTTGTGTATGGTGTGGTGTATGTGTGGTGCATGTGCAGTGTGTGGTGTATGGTGTGCTGTGTGTTGTGTGTGTGGTATATGTGGTGTGTATGTGGTGCATGTGCGGTGTGTGGTTTGTGTGTGGTGTGTGGTGCATGTGCGGTGTGTGGTGTATGTTGTATGTGCGGTGTGTGGTGTAAGTGTGGTGTGTGTATGGTGTTGTATGTGTGGTGTATGTGTGGTGGTGTGTGTTGTATGTGTGGTTTGTGTGTGGTGTGTGGTGTATGTGTGGTGCATGTGCGGTGTATGTGTGGTGTGGTGTATGTTGTATGTGTGGTGTGTGTGGTGTGTGCGGTGTTGGTGTGCTGTGTGTGGTCTGTGTGTGGTCTGTGTGTGGTTTGTGTGTGGTGTGTGGTGTATGTGTGGTGCGTGTGTGGTATATGTGTGGTGTGGTGTATGTTGTATGTGTGGTGTGGTGTGGTGTGTGTTGTATGTGTGGTTTGTGTGTGGTGTGGTGTGTGTGGTGTGTGTGCGGTGTTGGTGTGCTGTGTGTGGTCTGTGTGTGGTTTGCGTGTGTGGTGGGGACGGGGGGGGGGGGGATGAGCTGGGGGGGGGATGAGCTGCGGGGGGGGGGGGGCGGGGGGTGTGATCCTGACCCGGCCCCTCCCCGCCCCAGCCACGTACACGCAGATCCAGCCGCACTCGCTGATCCAGCGGCAGCAGCAGATCCACCTGCAGCAGAAGCAGGTGGTGATCCAGCAGCAGATCGCCATCCACCACCAGCAGCAGTTCCAGCACCGCCAGTCGCAGCTGCTGCACACGGCCACGCACCTGCAGCTGCAGCCGCCGCAGGCCCCGGCCGTGGCCTCCCCGCAGCCCCCGCCGCTGCCGCCCGCGCCGCCCGGCGCGCCCTCCGCGCAGGCGCAGCCGCCGCCGCCGCCGCCGCCGCCCGCGCAGGCGCAGACGCAGACGCTGGTGGTGCAGCCCATGCTGCAGGCCGCGCCGCTGCCGCCGCTGCCCGACGCCAAGGCGCCGGGGCCCATCCCGGCCAAGCCCGCCGCGCCGCCCAAGCCGCCCGCGCCCGGCGCCGCCAAGCCGCCCGCCGCGCAGGCCGCCGCCGCCGCCGCCCCGCACATCCCCGTGCAGGTGGTGGGCGCGCGGCAGCCGGGGCCCGCGCACGCGCAGGCGCTCGGCCTGGCGCAGCTGGCGGCCGCCGTGCCCGCCCGCGGCCCGCCCGGCCCCGGCCCGCCCGCGCCCGCGCTCGCCGCCGCCTCGCCGCCCTCGGCGCAGGCGCCCGCGCCCGGCCCGCCGCAGGAGCGCGCGCAGCCCGCGCCCGCGCCCGCGCCGCCCGGGGCCCCCGCCGCCGCCTTCTACCTGCAGCCCGCGCACCTGCCGGTGAGTGAGCCAGCCGCCCGCCCGCACGCACGCACGCACGCACGCCCGCGGGACGCCCGCGCCGCGCTCGGGGTCCTGGTGGGGCCCGGCGCCCGTCCGGCTCCGCGGGTCTGGAATCGGCGCAGGGCGCCCCTGCCGGGCGGTCGGAGCCGCGGGCCCGCGGGGCGGCGGGCGCAGGAACCGAGCTCAGCCCTGGCCTCGCCGTGGCCGGTGACGGGCGGGTCTGGCCCCACGGAGGAGGCGCTGCGGGCCCCGTGCAGATGGGGGCTGGGTGCAGTGGAGGGGTGTGCGGGTGGCAGTGTGCGGGTGGAGGGGTGTGCGGGTGCAGGAGTGTGCGGGTGGAGGGGTGTGCGGGTGGAGGGGTGTGCGGGTGGCAGTGTGCGGGTGGAGGGGTGTGCGGGTGCAGGAGTGTGCGGGTGGAGGGGTGTGCGGGTGGAGGGGTGTGCGGGTGGAGGGGTGTGCGGGTGGAGGGGTGTGCGGGTGGAGGGGTGTGCGGGTGCAGGGGTGTGCGGGTGGAGGGGTGTGCGGGTGGAGGGGTGTGCGGGTGGAGGGGTGTGCGGGTGGAGGGGTGTGCGGGTGGAGGTGTGCGGGTGGGGAGGTGTGCGGGTGGAACTGTGAGGTGCGGGGTGTGCAGCGGGAGTGTGAGGTGGGTGGGAGTCAGGTGTGGGTTTAGGTGCGAGTGTCGGGTGTGGGCGGGGTGTCGGGTGTGGGGTGTCAGGTGTGGGCGGGGGTGTCAGGTGTGGGCGGGGGTGTCAGGTGTGGGGTGTCAGGTGTGCGGGTGTGGGGTGTCAGGTGTGGGCGGGGGTGTCAGGTGTCAGGTGTGGGGTGTCAGGTGCGGGTGTGGGTGTCAGGTGTGGGCGGGGTGTCAGGTGTGGGCGGGGGTGTCAGGTGTGGGGTGTCAGGTGTGGGGTGTCAGGTGTGGGGTGTCAGGTGTGGGCGGGGGTGTCAGGTGTGGGGTGTCAGGTGTGGGCGGGGTGTCAGGTGCGGGCGGGGGTGTCAGGTGTGGGGTGTCAGGTGTGGGGTGTCAGGTGTGGGCGGGGGTGTCAGGTGTGGGGTGTCAGGTGTGGGGTGTCAGGTGTGGGCGGGGGTGTCAGGTGTGGGGTGTCAGGTGTGGGCGGGGGTGTCAGGTGTGGGGTGTCAGGTGTGGGGTGTCAGGTGTGGGCGGGGGTGTCAGGTGTGGGGTGTCAGGTGTGGGCGGGGGTGTCAGGTGTGGGGTGTCAGGTGCGGGTGGGGGTGTCAGGTGTGGGCGGGGGTGTCAGGTGCGGGTGTGGGGTGTCAGGTGTGGGGTGTCAGGTGTGGGCGGGGGTGTCAGGTGTGGGGTGTCAGGTGTGGGGTGTCAGGTGTGGGCGGGGGTGTCAGGTGTGGGGTGTCAGGTGTGGGCGGGGGTGTCAGGTGTCAGGTGTGGGGTGTCAGGTGTGGGGTGTCAGGTGTGGGGTGTCGGGTGTGGGCGGGGGTGTCAGGTGTCAGGTGTGGGGTGTCGGGTGTGGGCGGGGGTGTCAGCTGTGCCGGTGGAGGTGGCGCAGGGGTTGGTGCGCATGCGCCCTGAGCGGCTCTTGCTCCGCAGGCGAAGGCGCCGTCGCTGGCGGTGAAGCGCAAGGCCGAGGGCGAGGAGGAGCGGGCGGCGCTGCCGGGGCGCGCGGAGGACAAGGGCGGCCTGGGCCTGGGCCTGGGCCTGGGAGGTCAGTGTCCTTCCCCTTGGGCCTGGGGCGGCGGGGACCCGGCCGGGGCGCGGCCCTGACTGCCGCCCTGGCTTCTCCTGCAGAGAAGGCGGAGGCCGCGGGCGGCGGGCCGGGCGCGGCGGGCGGCGACCCGGAGCTGGCGGGCCTGGGCCTCGGCCCCGCCGCCCCCGCGCCGCCGCCCTCGCTGGCGCTGGTGCCGCGGCCGGCGGGGGACTCGAGGCCGCCGCAGGCCATCGTCAAGCCGCAGATCCTCACCCACATCATCGAGGGCTTCGTCATCCAGGAGGGGGCGGAGCCGTTCCCGGTGAGGGCGGGGCCTTTTCTATGGGGGCGGGGCCTCCGGGGAGGGCGGGGCCTGGGAGGCAGGGTGGAGCCTTTTCTATGGGGGCGGGGCCTAGGGAGGCGGGGCCTCTGAGTGGGCAGGGCCCCTGGGAGGGCGGGGCCTCGGGCCCTGAGTGGTCGGGTTTTACAGCGGAAGTTGGAGCTTCCGGTGAGGCGTGAGGAAAGGAGGCGGGGCCGGGTTCGTGGCTCTCCAGTTAGGCTTGCTCACGCAGGGCGCGGGCGCGGTGCTCCTGGAACCGCGCCTCCATCCCTGGCTTTTTGCCAAGTGGAGCTGAGGCTCCCGGGCTTCGCTGCCGCGGCTGGCTGCGAGCCGCCGCCCTCCGCGCTCGGTCCCCGCAGCGGCGATGCCAGGCGTGGAGCCGCTCGTGGGCGGCTTCGCACGAGGCTCCGCGCTGCGCCCCGGCCGCCTCCAGCCCCGGCCCGGCCTCGCCGTGGCGGGGCCGCACTGGCCGGGCGGCCGCCCTCACCCACACCCTCTGGCAGGTGGCGTGCTCGCAGCTGCTGAAGGAGTCTGAGAAGGCGCTGCAGACCGGCCTCCCGCCGGCGCTGGGCGGGAGCCCTGCGGGGGGCGCGCTGGGCGGGGACAGCCCCTCTGCGGGTGAGTGCCCGCGCCCCGCGGATGAGATGGGGTCACGGCACAGCTCGGGCTGGGCTTGAACCCGAGGCCTTCGCCTCCGCCTCCCGAGTCGCCGGGCTCGCAGGCGTGCGCTGCCGGGCCCGCGGGCTCCCCGCGCCCCTTCTGCCGGTGGCGGGGGGGGGGGGGGGGGGGGGGGCGGGGGCGCGTGAGGTGCGCGGCGCGGGGTCCGACTGCGGGTCCCGAGGGTTCGGGCCGGGCCGGGCCCGGGCTCCTGGCTTTGTTTTGCTCTGTTCCGCCCGGGGCTCGAACTCCGGGCCTTGCTGTCTCGCGTGGCCGCCGCACCGCCCTTCCAGCCTGGCGGTGCCTCGCAGGTCTGCCGGGCTGGGCTCGAATCGCGGTCCTCAGATCGCAGCCGCGCGCGCGGCTGGGGGGCCGGGACGACAGGGGTGCGGACGCATCCGCTACTCGGAGCGTCGAACTCGGGTCGTGCGCGGCGCGGCGCGGGTTCTCCACGGCCCGTCTGCCTTGCAGAGCCGGACAAGAAGGCGAGCCTGCTCAAGTGCGAGTACTGCGGGAAGTTCGCGCCCGCAGAGCAGTTCCGCGGCTCCAAGAGGTTTTGCTCCGTGACCTGCGCCAAGAGGTGACGGGGTCCGCCCCGCCCCGCCCCGCCGAGGCCCCCGCCCCTCCCCGGCCGCCCCGCCCCTTCCCCGCCGAGGCCCCGCCCCTCCCCGGCTCCCCGCCCCTCCCCGGCTCCCCGCCCCTTCCCCGCCGAGGCCCCGCCCCTCCCCGGCTCCCCGCCCCTCCCCGGCTCCCCGCCCCTTCCCCGCCGAGGCCCCGCCCCTCCCCGGCTCCCCGCCCCTTCCCCGCCGAGGCCCCGCCCCTCCCCGGCCGCCCCCGCCCCTTCCCCGCCGAGGCCCCGCCCCTCCCCGCCTCCGCGGCTGGCGGCGGGCTCACGCGGGGGCCGCCCTCGCCACCGCAGGTACAACGTGAGCTGCAGCCACCAGTTCCGGCTCAAGAGGAAAAAGATGAAGGAGTTCCAGGAGGCCAGCTACGCCCGCGTGCGCCGGCGCGGGCCCCGCCGCAGCTCCTCCGACCTGGCCCGCGCCAAGATCCAGGGCAAGCGCCACCGGGTGAGGGGCCGCGTGCGCATGCGCGCGCTGTCCGGTCCTGGGGTCCGAACTCGTGGCCCGCGCTCCACGCCTTGAGCCACACGCAGCCCCGCTGGCGGCGTGCTGCGTTCACTGGCGAGGCGTCTCCCAGACTTTCCTGCCCCGGCCGGCCTTGAGCCGCCATCCTCGGGTCGCAGCCTCCGAGGGGCGGGGCCGGAGCGCCGCTCCCACGATCCCACGCGAGCGCGCGCGCGCATGTACGCCTAATCTGCACATGTGCGCGCGTGCACCACGCAGCACCTGCTTACATACGTGTGCTGACGGGCCTGTGCGCACGTGCGCCCCGCCCCCCGCCCCCCCCACCGCGCGCTGCCCCCGCCCCCCCGCCCCTCCCCCCCCCCCGCGCTGCCCCCGCCCTCCCCCCGCCCCCCTCACTCCCGCGCCCCGCCCTCCCCGCGCCCCGCCCCCCTCACTCCCGCGCCCCGCCCCCTCCTACGCCCCGCCCCCTCACTCCCGCGCCGCCCCGCAGGGCCAGGAGGACTCGAGTCGCGGCTCCGACAACTCGAGCTACGACGAGGCGCTGTCGCCCACGTCCCCCGGGCCGCCGCCCCGCCCCGGCCACGGCGAGCGCGAGCTGAGCGGCGGCCTGGCCGCGCCCCCCACGCCCGAGCGGCTGGGCGCGCACCCCGACTTCCTGCCCGCCAACCCCAGCCGCTGGAGCGTGGAGGAGGTGTACGAGTTCATCGCGTCCCTGCAAGGTGGGGACCCCCCCCCCCCCCCACGGCTCATCCGGGCCCGCGCGGGGAGGCCGGGCTCCCGGGCGCGCCCCAGGCCTGCGCCTGCGCCTCCCGAGGGGCGGCTGCACGAGGGCGCGCGCCCCACTGGCGGGAGCGAGGGCGTCTGGCACCCGCGTCGCCCCCCCCACTGCGGCTGCGCGGGCGGCGGCATCGCCGGGGTGGGGCCCGGGGCGCATGCGTGTCCGCCCCCGCCCGCCCGGCCTGACGCCGTCTGCGCCTGCGCCCGCCCCGCCCGCAGGCTGCCAGGACATCGCCGAGGAGTTCCGCTCGCAGGAGATCGACGGGCAGGCGCTGCTGCTGCTCAAGGAGGAGCACCTCATGAGCGCCATGAACATCAAGCTGGGGCCCGCGCTCAAGATCTGCGCCAAGATCAACGTCCTCAAGGAGAGCTGAGAGCTGAGCGCGGCCGCGCCTGCTCGGAGCAGGGGACGGCAAGGCTGGCGCCACCGCCGCCAGCGCGCAGCGCGCAGGCGCCGCCCCACGGCGAGGACGGCGTGACCACGCACAGCGCGCAGGCGCCGCCCCACGGCGAGGACGGCGTGACCGCGGACAGCGCGCAGGCGCCGCCCCACGGCGAGGACGACGTGACCGCGGACAGCGCGCAGGCCCCGCCCCACGGCGAGGACGACGTGACCGCGGACAGCGCGCAGGCCCCGCCCCACGGCGAGGACGGCGTGACCACGCACAGTGCGCAGGCCCCGCCCCACGGCGAGGACGGCGTGACCACGCACAGTGCGCAGGCCCCGCCCCACGGCGAGGACGGCGTGACCGCGGACAGCGCGCAGGCGCGGCGTTGGCGCCTTCGAGGACTCCAAGCAGGCCGCGGCTCGAGCGGTAGCGCAGCCAGCGACCCAACAGGGCGGACACGGAGTTCGAGACCCGGCCTGGGACAGAAGGAAACAAGACGGGGCGCAGCCGCGGAGCGGCCGCCTGTCTGGGACCGTGTCGGGCGGGCAGGAGGCGGGGCCTCGGCCCGGTCCGCGGGGTGGGCGCGCGGCTGTGGCCGGGGCGGCCGGGGCTGCCTGGGCGGCCGCGCCCCGCCGGTCGCCGCCCCGCCCGCGCCCCGCCGCCGGCCGCCTCGGTGCTGCTCCCCACGCCGCACAGAGCAGATATTTTTTTCTTCCTTAGTAAAAGGTGAACACGGACCCGCCTCGCTCCCGCGCCCGCCCGCAGCGCCGCGACGCGCACGCGCACACTGGCCGAGGCGACGCGCAGAGCAGCTTTCGGTTTCGGTTTTTTAAAATAACATTGTTTGTGTAGAAAGGAACAAACCCGCGCCCCCATCCTGCCCGCCCCAGCGCCGCCGCCCGCCGGCAGCGCGGCTTCCCTGAGCCTGCGGGGGGCGCGGCCTCTCCTGCCCCCACTCCCTTTCCAGACGTTTCCAGGGCGCCGGGGTGGGGGGGTGAAACCACAGGCCTGGGAGAAGCTGAGAAACGAAGGCCCTCCTCCCAGGTCCCGCCGCGCGCGGGGCGGTGCGGGGCGCGGGGGCGGGGCGGGGCGCGGGGCGGGACGCGAGCCTCCGCCCGGCTCAGGGCAGCAGCAGCAGCAGCAGCAGCAGCCGCAGCCGCGGGAGCTGAGCGAAGTCGTCGTCGATCCGGGTAAACGCTGCCAGAGCTGCTGCTTTTTGGCGGAGGGAGAGAAGCCCCGCGCCTCGGCCCGCCCGCGCGCGCTGGGTGTCGGGGGCCGCGCGGCTGCCAGGCGTCGCCAGGCCGGGTCCGCTCGGTGCCGGCAGCGCCGCGCCTCTGCGGGGGGGACGCGGGGAGGCGGAGACGCCCAGCAGGCGGCGCTCACGGGCAGCAGGCGCCGTCCGCTCCTCCGGCTCCTCCCCGCGCCGTCCCGCGCTCACACGGGCAGCAGGCGCCGTCCGCTCCTCCCGCGGGTCCCCGCGCTCACATGGGCAGCAGGTGGTCGTCGCGCTCCTCCGGCTCCTCCCCGAGCTGGTCGTCGCCCACGCCGCGGTAGGCGGCGGGCGCGTGGCGGGGCTTGGAGCGGCACACGAAGTCGCAGCCGTCCTGGGGGCGGGGGAGAAGGCACGGGAGGAGCTGGGACTCGCGCCGCCGCCCCGGCTCCTGCCCGGCACGGAGGAGGCCGAGGGGGGAGGATCCCAGGCGGAGGCCGGCACGCAGGGGCCTCCGCTCCAGCGCCGGGCGCTCTACCGCTGCGCGCTTAGCCGGAGGGAAGAGGCTCACGGGCTCTCCTGCCCGGGCTGGCCTCAAACCGCGACCCTCCATCTCGGCCTCCCGAGGAGCCGGGATGGCAGGCGGGAGCCGCGGGGACCTGGCGTGCGGGTACGTGTCCCAGGCCCCAGCTGCCGCCCGTGAGCAGGCCGGACCCCCAGCGCCCCACGGACCCCACCACTCACCGCGACCAGGTTGCCCAGGTCCTGCCAGAAGGCCAGGTGCGGGAGCTGCTCCATGCCCTTGGCGCCCACCACCAGGCGGCGGTACAGGAACCCCCCGGTGACGTAGACGGCCGCCAGGGACGCGAACCTGCGGCCAGGGGACGCCCACTCTTAGCAGGGCAGCGGCTCACGCCTGTCATCCCAGCCACTCAGGAGGATCGAAGGCAGCCCAGGCGGAGAAGCCCCGCGAGACCAGGACCTCCAATCGGACCACCCAAAAACCACAAGTGGCGCTGTGGCTCAAGCGGGAGAGCGCCAGCCCTGAGCACAGTGAGGCTCAGGGACAGCGCCCGGGCCCCGGGTTCAAGCCCCAGGACTGACAAAAAACAAACCCCAAGAAAAATAAACACCAAACAAATAATCTAATAATGCACTGCCCTGAACACTGCCTGCCTTCCTTCCTTGCCTCCCTGGCCCTGGCCTAGGCTGTCTGTCCTGGGGCTTGAACTCAGGGCCTTCTGTTCTTAAGCCTTTTCACTCAAGGCTGGTGCTCTGCCACGTGAGCCACGCCTCCCCGTCCAGCTTTTTGCTGCTTCACTGGAGGTCGGAGTGGCTCAGCTTCTCCCGCCCTGCCGGGATGACAGGCGGGAGCCACGAGGCTCGGCTGCAAGCTCGGTGCGGCTCCTGTGGCCTTCGGGGCGGCCTGGCGGGGTGGGGGTGTCGCCACTCACGTGAGCAGCAGGATGGAGCCCACGCTGAGGCGGGAGGCCTCGGGGGCGCACGCCAGCCTGCTGTCCATCTCGAAGAGGTAGAAGCAATCTTGCACCTTGCCCCGCTCCTCAGACACCGGGGTGAAATTGTCCTGGAGAGGGGACGGGGAGGTCTTCGTGGGCCGCGCGCGCGAGGGGCGGCCCCCGGGCTTGAACTCAGGGCGCTGCCGCTTGAGCCACAGCTCCACGTCCGGCGGGACCGCAGTCCGTGTCAGCCGGGCTTCCAGGCGTCACCACCGGTGCCCGGAGGGCTGGGCCGGTTTGCCCGCGCCCCCTCCCCGGCCCCCTGCTCACCGCGAGCGTGTGGCGGCTGCAGGAGATCATGACGACGGCCCTGCGCTGCTCCCGGCCGCAGTGGTTGTCGTACTCGTCCCCGCCCTTGTAAATCAGCATGATCCAGTTGCCTGGCAGGGACGCGAGGTGGGCTGAAGCGCCCTGGGAGGCCTGGATGGGGGGTATTTTTTTCCCCCTCTTCTAAAGCTGGTCCTGGGGCTTGAACTCAGGGCCTGGACACTGTCGCTGAGCTTTTTCTTTTTGCTTAAGCCTAGTGCTCTACCGCTTGGGCCGCAGCGCCACAGCTTTTTGCTGCAGATGAGAAGCGCAGACTGGTCTGCCCAGCCTGGCTTCCACGTGCGATCCTGCGATCTCAGCCTCTTGATGAGCGGGGATTACAGGCGTGAGCCGCAGTGCCCGGCCCAGCTGAGGGGCCGAGCTGGGGGTGGGGGTCGGGGGAGGGCGGGACACTCACTTCCGTTGAAGATCTGTGTCTCGTTGAGCCTGCCCACCACCGTCTCCTTGCCGGTGCTTTTGTTGATCTGCACCAGGCCGGCTCCCGAGGTTTGGTTGCTGGCTTCGCGGCACACGCGGAAGATGTAGAGGTATGAGTCTGCGCCCTGGCCTACCGTGCTCTCGAAGCTGCAAGGCAAAAGTGAGGGGACCGGTCACTGGTGGTCAGTCCCACGCGGCCGGCCACCTGCTCATCTGGGTGGACCTGACCCGACCCAGCCCGACCCGCTCAGTTCTAGAATGCCATTTTTTTTTTCAGCTGGGATTACAGGTGTGCGCTACCGTGCCCGGCCAAGGCAGTTTCTTAAGCGGTCCAAGGCGCTCGTTTACCTTTTATTGAACAGCGGGTCCAGTCTCTTGAGCAAGGCCAGCTCCTTCTGGGATTCTTTCTCTTTTTCGCCAACTAAGTCGCAGGTTTTTTCTTCTGTCTGCCAGGATTTGTTCACCTCCATGGCCAGGAGCGCGAGCAGCAGCGGCCCTGGCTTCCAGCACGCGAGGGTGGGCCGCATGCTTCTGGCGGAGAACGCAGAGCAGGGGGAGAGGAGACACACAGGAATTACGGAATAAACCACCAGCGTGACTCGCGGAGCCACAAACAGAATGTTCTAGCCTCTCATGGAGACCACTGTAGAAGGAATCCATGCGTGTAACTTTTAGTCTAATCCATAGGCGAGTCTTTTCAAACAGATTAGGGAAGGAAGGAGGAGGAAGGGAAACGAGTTTATTATGATCACTGTTAAACTGCTTCTTTACAGGGTTCTTTTTTATTTTTAGTTCCAAGAACAGGACTCGAACTCAGCACCTGATGCTTTTGCTCACTGGCTAGCACTCTACCATCTTAGCCACACATCCAATAACATTTTTTTTTTGTTGTTGGTTGTGGGGCCTGAACTCAGGGTCTGTCCCTGTCCCTCAGCTCTTCAGCTCAAGGCTGGCGCTCTACCACTTGAGCCACAGCGCCACTTCTGGCTTTTTCTGCTTATGTGGTGCTGAGGACTCGAACCCAGGGCCTCATGCATGCAAGGCAAGCGCTCTACCACTGAGCCACCTGCCCAGCCCCTCAACACCGCTTCTTTACAGTTTGGAGAGTCACTCAGATTAGCTGGCTCATTATGCAAAATGTAATGCTAGTTGGAAAGCAGAGTTTAAAGAAGCGGCCTTACCCAGGGCCAAACGGAATATTACGGTCTGAAAACAGTTATTCAGATGCAAAAGAATCCAACTGGAACACTCTGGGGCCCTAACTTTTCCTACCAAAATTCCAGGATCATCTAACAGTCTCTTTAGTCATTGTAACAATGGTAAACAGAAACATGGCCTACTATCTCAAAGTGTGTGAGTGTGTGTGTGTGTGTGTGTACTGGAATTTAAACTCATGGTCTCCTGCTCTCACTTGGCTTTTTTTTTTTGTTCAAGTGGGTGCTCTACCACTTGAACCACACCTCAATTCCAGCTTTTTGCTGCTTAACTAGAGCAAAAGAGTTTCACAGACTTTCCTGCCCAAGCTGGCTTCAAACTGCGATCCTCGGGTCTCAGCCTCCTGAGTGGCTGGGATTACAGGCGGGAGCCTGGTGTATGGTTTACGGTTCACGTGCTATTTCCCATAATCCAATGGGGCAAGTCATGTGATTTCCTGTGCCATTCACTACGGTCATATTAATACAAAATTGCAGACAATAACCAGGGCTGAGGGTCCCACGGATGCTCAAAAACACAGGCAAAGGGACCCAGCGTGTGAGAACAGGACTTAGCCAGAGCGGCAGTACTGGGTCAAGCACCGTGGAGCGCCGAGCTTGGAGGAACCAAGTCATCTTCGCAGAAACGCTAAGCAGTTCTGCAGGGATCGTGGCACGGGGTGAGCTCAGCACACAAACACCAACGTGAGTCGGCGGAACTCATGACCCACGCGCAGCCAGCGCACGCAAGTTCTGCCATGAGTATGTTCTGGAAACGAGAATCAAGGAGCAAACTCACATGCTGCCTGGGTCGTTTGGTTTTCTTTTTTCCCCCCAGAGAAAGGGGAAGTGAGCGTTCCCAAGGCTCCCGGAAGGAGAAGAAAGAATTCAGCTCTAAACTTCCCACGCCTCCCTGGGCTCAGTATGGACGCAGCAGCCCGCCTTACTGGAAGAAGAAAGCTTTTGTTAGCTAATTAGCAGGCCAGATGCCTCGGGTCCCAAATTTCAAATGCTCCCATTTTGGGGTTTTGAGATCTCCTTGCCACCCGCTCCCCCTGGGTCTCCCCAACCATTTCTGGGGAGCGCGATCTCACCAAATGCTGTGTTCTTTGGCCTTACAGCGAATGCAGAGCAGACGTCTCCTCTGCTTCCTGTTCGAGGTCTGTGGGTTAAGTGGAAGGTTGGGGTGTAACGCTACTTTGCTCACTTAAGATTTGAGTTGTGTTCATTTTTGGGGGGGGGGGGCAAGGCAGAAAAAGGAGGTGCTAGATCCCCCTCATTTTTAAAGGTGAAGAGAGTTGCACGTGAACTTTCCCAAAGGGGAAGTCAGCTGGGCAAGCTGGGAGGATTGTTGGACACCCAGGTGTACAACCATCAGGACAGAGAAAGACCAGAGGTGGCGGGCCTCCCTCCGGGCCTCCCTCAACGTCAGATAATTAAGACTTGAAACGCTATTCCCAAGGTGCCAGCCCCTGTCTGCTTGTCCCGGGGCTTGAACTCGCGGCCTGGGCGCTGCCCCTGAGCCTTTTCTCCAGCCTCCACCACCTCAGCCACGGAGCCACTTCGGGCTTTCTGTTGGTTCACTGGAGAGAAGCAGTTTCTGGGCTTTCCTGCCAGGGCTGGCTCTGAACCACGGATTCCCCTGAGCAGCTGGGACGCAGGGCGGGTGCGACCAAGCCCGGCCACACCCCAGACCTCAGGGGAAGAGGGGCCTGCTGCTCCTCCCGCCGCCCCAACCAACCCGCCCCAACCCCACCCCGACTCCCCTGCACCCCAACTACCGCCCCAAACCCTCTGCACCCCGACTCCCCTGCACCCCAACTACCGCCCCAAACCCTCTGCACCCCGACTCCCCTGCACCCCAACTACCGCCCCAAACCCTCTGCACCCCGACTCCCCTGCACCCCAACTACCACTGCCAACCCCACCCCGACTCCCCTGCACCCCAACTACCGCTGCCAACCCCACCCCGACTCCCCTGCACCCCAACTACCACTGCCAACCCCACCCCGACTCCCCTGCACCCCAACTACCGCTGCCAACTGCACCCCGACTCCCCTGCACCCCAACTACCGCCCCCCAGTCCCTGCCCCGACCCGCATCGCCCCCCCCAGCCCCGTGCGGGGTGGACGCGGAGCCCCCGTGCCCGGCCCCCTCCCCCCGCCCCCCCCGCCCCCCCCCCCGCCCTCCACCCGCACTCACGCGCCCCCTTCCCCCCCTCCCCCTCCCCCCCGCACTCACGCGCCCCCTTCCCCCCCTCCCCCCCCCCGCACTCACGCGCGCGCCCCCCTCCCCGCCCCCCCGCCCTCACGCGCGCGCCCCCTCCCCCTCCCCCCCGCACTCACGCGCCCCCCCCGCCCCCCCGCCCTCACGCGCGCGCCCCCCTCCCCCTCCCCCCCGCACTCACGCGCGCGCCCCCTCCCCCCCGCACTCACGCGCGCGCCCCCTCCCCCCCGCACTCACGCGCGCGCCCCCTCCCCCCTCCCCCTCCCCCCCGCACTCACGCGCGCGCCCCCTCCCCCCTCCCCCTCCCCCCCGCACTCACGCGCGCGCCCCCTCCCCCCTCCCCCTCCCCCCCGCACTCACGCGCGCGCCCCCTCCCCCCTCCCCCTCCCCCCCGCACTCACGCGCCCCCCCCGCCCTCCCCCCCGCACTCACGCGCCCCCCCCGCCCTCCCCCCCCGCACTCACGCGCGCGCCCCCTCCCCCCTCCCCCCCCGCACTCACGCGCCCCCCCCGCCCTCCCCCCCGCACTCACGCGCCCCCCCCGCCCTCCCCCCCGCACTCACGCGCCCCCCCCGCCCTCCCCCCCCGCACTCACGCGCGCGCCCCCGCCCCTCCCCCGCACTCACGCGCGCGCCGGCGCGGAGCCCGCGGAGCCCGCGAGCGCGGCGGCGGCAGGCAGGGCGGCCTCGAACCCGGGCGCGCGGCTGCTGTCAGAGCCCGGCGCCCCCGCCCTGCGCGCTTCACCCCCGGAACCGGAAGCCGGAAGCTCCGAGCCGCCGCCGGCGGGCCGCGGCGCCTCCCAGCCGACCCCGCGGCGCGAGGCCGCGGAGCCATGCTTCCGGTCTTCCGGGCCACGCCAGCCGCTGATTGGGCTGAATCCTCGGGCCTTAGCGCCGCCCCGTCTCGCCAGCACCAATCGCGATCGAGATTGGCAGTGCGCGTCCCTCTCTAGCCAATAGCGTGCCGGGGTCCCGCCTCCCTGAACTCTCGCCTCTCATTGCCCCAGTCCCGCGGGGTTACGACGTACGTCAGCTTCTGATTGGTCCTATTGGAAAGGGCAGGGACGGCGGAAGCGGAAATACGCAAGGCCGCCCCTGCGCCCTCTCGGGAGTTGTAGTCCTGGCCGCCCGCGTTCCCCCGGCGCCGCCCGGCTCGGCCTGTGGGCGGCGCTGTGGAGCGGCGGCGCTGTGGAGCCGCGGCGCCGCGTCCGGCTTCCGGCGGGCTCCGGGCGAGCCGAGGCCGCGGACACGGCCGCGCGCGCGGGCTTCGGCCTCCGACGCTTCTTGACAGGAAAAAAAAAAAAAAAAAGTCGAATCGTTTTCTACAAACAGAAGCGCGAGATGCCCGGGAGGCCGGGAAAGCGGCGAGGCCCGGGGTCCGAGGCCCGCCCGGGAGGCCGGGTGCGAGGCCAGCCCGGGAGGCCGGGAAAGCGGCGAGGCCCGGGGTCCGAGGCCCGCCCGGGAGGCCGGGGTCCGAGGCCAGCCCGGGAGGCCGGGTGCGAGGCCCGGGGTCCGAGGCCAGCCCGGGAGGCCGGGAAAGCGGCGAGGCCCGGGGTCCGAGGCCAGCCCGGGAGGCCGGGTGCGAGGCCCGGGGTCCGAGGCCAGCCCGGGAGGCCGGGTGCGAGGCCCGGGGTCCGAGGCCAGCCCGGGAGGCCGGGTGCGAGGCCCGGGGTCCGAGGCCAGCCCGGGCAGCAGCCTCCAGTGAACCAGCAAAAAGCCAGAGTAGAGCCGCGGCTCA